TGCTGAGCCTGACATGTCCTCAGAGGAGACAGTTATGTGGAGATATTGTGGATGGTCGGTTTTCCCTTGTGGATCATCAGGTCATAGGCCCAGCAGTGAGGAAGTACTAGGAAATATGGACAAAATGCCCATGTGAGAGAACAATTCAACCCTGGGTCATGGAACAATGTGGGCATTGGTACAAGAAAATGTAGTATTTCCCATTGATAGGGCATCTGCTGTGTCCAGGGGGAGTGTGGATTGGGGAAGTGAATTAGACAAGAGACAGGAGACAGGGTCTGGAAGGCATTCAGTGAATACTGAACTACCCATGTTTATTGTTCAAAGTCTCTTTATTCTCTCATCAAACGAGGGGGAGGAGGGAAAAGTCTTCCTTACCAAGATACAAAGAACAAGCAAGCATAATTGCCATCTCAATACCCAAAACATCAAATAACCATATCTTGAGTTAGGTATTCTATTGTTCAGGCAGGCCATGTATCGACCACATCCTAGGCCAAACATCCCATGCATTCACATCTTAGGCCAGGGATCCTCTTGTCAAGGTAAGACACAGAATAGGCACACCTTAGGCCAAACACTCTGTGGTTTGACCTTGAAGGAAAAATAGTAGGTTTGAACTCTCTGACCAAGATGGAATGGAATCAATTCTGTGGGTTCCCATAAGAAAATAGGCTTCTGTTTCCAGGAGGTCTGAGTAGTCCTTGCATCCATCACCTTGGGTGCACCCAGAGCTAGGAAGTAGCTTCTGTTATGATACCTGTGGTTCACCATTACATACTCATGCAACATGGAAGTAATAGCAATTGTTAATGATTGCTGAGAATTTCATAAGTGGGAAATTAAACCTAGAGCTTCATATCGAGTATTTCAATGAATTCTCACAGCAATCCTTGAAGATAACAATGACCCCCCCCCACTGTCAATGGGAAACCAGAGATTAAAAAAGTCAAATTTATTGCCCAGGGTCAGAGAGTCAGGAAGTTGCACAGCTGAGATTTTTAACCCACTTAACCAAAATCAGACCCAGCTCTCCTAACCACAACTTCAAGCTGTTAAGTAGAACTGAGGCACAATCAGTACAGCAGGGATGTCCAGTGGTAGATGGATGATAGATATACCTGGCCCAGGAACCACCAGCCAAAGAGATGCTAGTGATATATTTGATTTCTTCTTCTCAAATTTTGAACAGCTGTGAGGTGTTTAGAATATTGAGTCCAGTAACAGTATATATAAATAACCTTAACTTGATCCCCTTTGATTTTATTTTTGGATGCCATAGCTTTGTTCTTTCTTTATTTCGGCTAAGCCTCTACTGCATGTTCCCTAAGCAGCAGAATGATCCATTTCAGAAGCATATTTTATGCGATGCTGACACCAGCTGTTCCATGGAGACCTTCAGGCTCCTGCCAGAGTGTAATTGGCACCCAGGAGCAAACATGCTCCAAAGCACCAAAAAGCAAATGTGTTTAGCAATAAGTCTTTATCTCAGCATGAAAAAAAGCAATAAATTGTGATAAGTCTGAGCAGCTAGTCTCTAAACACACATACAAAATTTATTATGCAAAGGCTTAGTTTATTGCCAAAAAGGAAGACAATAGTGCTGTCATTTTAACAGCCTCCCTATAACTTGGTTCTTTATATGAACAAAGAGGAGACTTTCTGGAGTTTGTATTGGGGATATAAACATGCTTGAAGGAAATGGAGAACATGAAGGAAAAAATGATCCATTATTTACTCTTTTTTTAAGCCTCCAAAGATTCCACTGAATTAGGGAATTATACTTTTTATGTTGGCCAATATTATGACAATAGACTATTTAGATTCGTAATTTATATCTTCTCAATAAAAACTACAAATTTATATATCAGAATATCAACAAAACAATGTGCAGGACATGAAAGAAAAGTGGTCATACGCTTGAAGGAAGGGGAGCAGTGAGGGACTATGGGAAACAAGATGAGATGAGAACAAAGCATGACAATATACACTCATGAAAACATTGTAACCAGAACTATTACTTGCATACTAAAATCAATAAAAATATACAAAAATAGGTGTGAATATATTATTGAAGTTGCCTAAGGAGAATCTTGGTTTCTAGAAATGTCTTTGTGGATCTCTGCTATTACTCAGAGAACCACAAGGTAGACAATCCAACAATTTGAAGATTACTTCTCTGATGGGAGATGTCATTCTGTAAATGTTTCTTTATTGGTCAATGAATAAAGCGCTGTTGGCCAATAGGAAAGCAAGATGGGTGGGACTAGGAGACAAGGAGGAGTCAGGGATAGGTAGAGAAGGAAATTCAACATGTAGGACTTGAGAGAACAGAGGTCCAGATCCTCTCTCCAGTAAGATGAGACTTAGATTGATAGAAATACTTAGATTGATAGAAATGGGTTAATATTTAAGACAGAGCTAGCTGATAAGAAACTAGTAAGTGGCCAAGAATTATATCTACTACAGCATCTCTGTGTGTTATTTGGGGCTGGTGCGGCTCTAGGACCAGGCCAGCAGGAAAACATATTCATAACACCACTCTACAGGACAGTGCTCTCTAGTGAGAAGCTTTAGATTCTTCCAGGCAGGGAGATGTTTCTACAAACTGGTAGTCTATTTGGCTCATCTTTTCCATATTAGACTTTTTAACAAGAAATTTGCCATGCTCCCCATAATCTTAGAATTACCAGGATGTGCTAGAACTCCTGAAAGTCATATTGCCTTTTTCTTAGATTAGATTCTTCCCAGTAGTCTCATACAATGGTCCATTAGCTGTCATTTAAATGTGTCTCATTTGAAATACTCTTACCTCTTTTGTTTTTGTTTCTCCTGAGATGTGGTCTCACCAAGCCTTGGTTTGACTATAACTTACTACATAGCACAAGTTGGCCTCAAACTCATGGTTATCCCTCTGCTTCTGTCCAGAGTGCCAGGTTTACAAGCTCATGCAACTTTATTCAGCTTCACTTTAATCTTGTAACAGAGAAGAATTTGGCTTTACTCTGCCTAATAAAACGTATTATTTATATCCACTAGTATTCTAACTGAAAGCTTATGTTTAAAAACTGTAAAAAAATATTTAACTTATTTATGTCACTTGTTACTTTTCTAAAATCCAGAGGAAAATCATAGCCTAGTTCAGGGGCTTTCTTCAACAGCTATAATGAATAACATAGTTTGTGTCGTCTTGCCTTACACATTATGTCAGACAAGTCTTGGAGCCCTCCTGACATTTCCTCAGATGGGGTGTCTCCATGTGGGCACTGCTGGTTCCCAACTCAGCAGAGTCCCAAGTGAGCAGCTCTCAGGGAGCTCTCATCTCATGCAGCAGAAAACACTGGCATCACCTTCAGCATCCATTGGATACACAAGAGTTTCCACTCAAAGTGTTTTTCTCTGCCCGGAAGAGGAGCTCTGAAGTGGCTTCTGGAGTTACTTGAAATGAGAAGCCGTTTCTATTAGACTTGGCCTTTTAGATGTGCTTGAGGTGTTTTGTTTCCAGATATGTGGATCTAATTAATTACATATAATGTGACTGAAAACTAGAAATAGTAGTGAAGTCTACTTAAAATCCCAGGCATCATATGAATCTTCTGATGTTGCTTCTGATTGAACATTCATTTTAATCCCATCTTTTGCAATAGGAGAACCACGTGGAAAGGAAGCATGGGCACACTCACTTTGTAACTTTCAGAGCTGAACCATGAAAACCAGGTCACTCAAGAAGAGAAAATCCAGACTCATTCACTGAACACTGTCCCTGGGCATAGGTCTGCTTACATGACACAAATGGATTCCAGAATAAATACCTATTCACTTGAAGTTCAAAAATAATATCATATTTAGGAGTGGGGCTGTAACTCAGAGGCACAATGATTATGTAACATGCAAAGAAAACCTTAGTTTTATAGTAATTGAAATGATGAAAAGAGAGAAAAGCAAGAAATAGCTTGACAAGCTAAAGGCTCATTGTACGGTTGTTACAGCTATTTACTTAGCAACTATTACTCATTGAGAACAGAAAAGGTGATAAAAGAGACAAAACTGAACTTAGCAGTTCTTTTGTTAGTGAAGCAAAGTAAGTGATAGTAAAGCAAGTCTGTAAGGCCAGTGGGTGGCACATACCACACATGTGGTCTGAGCAACCTTTGGTAGGTGGTGTTGAGGCAGGAGGATTGCCACGAATTAAGGCAAGCCTAGGGTATATAATACACTCCAGACCAACTTGGAATATATAGCAACATGCTGAATCAACAACAGGAAGGAAGAAAGAGAAGAAACGATAGATTAAAAAGGAAGGGAGTTAAAGGAAAGACAAAGGATATTTATAAGTCATTCAAGAGTAAGTTAAGATGGACTACAGATGAATGGGGGAGAAACCATAGGTACATTAGTAACAGCAAAACATAGAATATGCTTGAAATCAATGAGGTGAGATACCCTTAATTCCTTCACTGACTGAGACATTCAGAGACAAGAGAGACAAAATTTGAAGAAACACACACAGACTGTATCATCTTCAGAATCTCACTGAATGAATTTATATCATTTGTAATTATCAAAAAAAAAATGGAATATGAACCCAAGAGGAAGGATTAAAGTAAGTGTTAACAATAAGAAAGGCATTTCCAGTCATGGGGAATTTGTTTTTTGACACATGGGTAACTCCAAACAAACATCAACAGAACATGATGACACATTGATATGGTGATGTAATGTGCATAGTTCTGCATTTCCAAGTCAGGCAGTGAAAGAAAGTATGATTGTTCAAAGATACTTTTACTAACCAAGAAAGACAATTTGGTGATACAACTAAGAAAATCCACACTACGAACTTCTGTGGAGCTTTGCTACTGAAACCGGTTCACTGATCATAAGTTTGAGAGGGAGGAGAAGGCTTGGGAGGAGTTGGATGGGAACAGAAAGGGAGAAGATGATGTACGTATAGTGCTCAAGTAAGAGATTTAAAAATCAAATCAATTAAAATTAAAAATATTGTGCTTGTTTTGGGCAGCATATATACCAAAATCGTAACAACCCTGAGAAGATTAGCATGGTCATGGTACAAGGATAACACGCAAATCTGTGAAGCATTCCATAATTTTTTAATCACCTAAGCAAGACACATATGGGCTGGCTCACAGAGACTAAGCAACAAGCACAGGGCCTATATGGGTCTACAACGGGTCCTCTGCATATATATTACATCTATTAGCTTAGGATTCTGATGGGACTCCTGACTGTGAGAATGAGTGGGTCTCTGAATCTTGGGTCTGCTCTCGGGGCTGTTGGGCCTCCCTGCCCAACTTCAGTATGATCACTTTTGCTTCATATTATTATATTTTATTTTGTCATGTTTGGACTCTTAGATAATGGATAGAAAGGAAGTAGATCTGGAGGCAGGAGAGGGTGGGGAGGAACTGGGAGGAGGGGAAAGTTTAATCAGAATATATTGTATGAGAAAAATATACTTTCAATTAAAAAAGAAACATAATAAACTACTGAGGTCATCTAGAGTTGTTCCTATGTACATGTGTCAAGGGCTGAATACTAGGAATTGGACAACCCTTGAGGTGCTTCTCTCTAGGAAAGCAAAACAAAACCAACCTGATTCTCCCCCCTTTTTTCAGCTGTCATTGACTGTAGTTCTTTATTTAGGGGTGGGCCGTTTGAAATTTTCTTCACTTACCTTGGCTTGTTGACTGGTGTGGGCACTGTGTAAAGATTTACAGTAAAGACAGATTCATATTAAGAAAAACCTCTAAAGGTTTACAATGTGTTTTAAAATATACGTAGACATGAAAAAAAAAATGGTTTTAAAGAGACAAAGAGGAACTGGGTGTTGTAGCACACGCCTTTAATCCCAGCACTCAGGAGACAGAGGCAAGCAGATCTCTGTGATTTGCAAAGTAAACCTGGTATGCAGAGTAAATTCCAGGACAGATAAGAGTTACAAGGAGAAACCCTGTCTCAAAAAATAGAAAAGAAACAGAATAATAAAAAGCCACAGATGGAGAAAATTTGTATACTGTACGGTATTATATTGTCTTTGTATTGTTTGACTGCTGAGGAAACAACAACTGTTAAAACAAATGCTGCTGAATTAATTCAATGTATATATTTTGAAAATGCTTTGACTCCAAAATTTAAGTTCAAGGACAAGTTACTGGGGAAAAGGATTTCTATTTTTGTTTCCACAGAAAATAAAAAGCTATGGATTCCTTCCAGACTAATATGGTTTGAGCAAGCCAGACCCCCTGAAACAGAGTCGCTGGTGATCCAACATTCAAAACAGCTTGGACAAGGCAGTCTTGCAGACTACAGCCAGGATTTCTACATCTTCTCAGGATCCCCCATGACAGCGCCCCCTGTCAGCAGGAAGTAGTTTGGAAAGAACGACGCCCAAATTCCCAAATATTGTTTATAAATGTTTGTTTTCATTTAAATGGACTTGGGTATAAATGGTTAATGATCACAGCCAGTTCTTTTTAAAGGTAAAAAGGGAATTATGGTATGGATATGAATACTTTGTTTTGGAATAGATTTTCATTTATTGATACAATTGAAGGTCAATAAGGTGATATGTATATTTCTCCTCTTGTTTAGGTATTGTGTTTATTGAGCTCAGTTAGAAATGTAATGTATAATGTAGTACAGATTATAGATAGTTACCTATGATAGTTAGAACTTATAGTTAAGTTAGTTAGTATTTCTAGATATACAGACATATATTTGAGATGGATAGGCATTCTTCAAACCTTTCAAAGACCTACAGAATATGGCATCTAAAATGGTTTAGGGTTTTTCTTGACAATGAGACATAATTGTTCCTGGCAACACCACCTGCATCAGAAAGGAAGATGAAGATGGACATTGAAGAAACTCATTATGGAGTTTACTTCCAATATGGCAAGACTAGCCATTTGGACAAGATACTCCTCTTGTCTGGACTGTTTGACTTTGTGATGTATAAACTGGACATGCAGGACCCACAGGAAAGTGACTTCTGATTCAAGATGGACATTGCTAACAGAGATCCTGCTTCATGGAAGAGTCTGCGAGACAGTATGCAGGACACAGACAAAAGTGACTGACAAACTGCCAATACAAGAAGACAGTTTAAAGTTTCCTGCGTTGCTGAAGAGTCTGCCAGACACACTATGGCCTATGGGCTGAAGATGGAAGATTACAAAAGAACTTCGGGTGACCAGGCAGTGAGTTGTCTCTGTCATTTCTAGAGTTTATATACTATCCTTCTGTGGTCTTTGAAGGAGTTGAAGACAGATAGTAATGGTTGTAGTTTTCATTAGTTAGGATTAAAGATAAGTTACTTAGACTTTAGACACACAAAGATAGAATAGATGATGAAATATTTTCTTCAAATCTTGCTAAATGTTAATGGACTAAATGTTGTTAACTGTGATTGTTACTTGATAACTGTTGTATAATATATTTTGCTATGTTAAGGTTAAAACCCTTCTTTTTATTTAGACAGAAAAGAGGAGATGATGGGAGAGGTCATTCTGTATGTTTCTCATACTGGTTAATAATAAAGCACTGTTGGCCAATAGAAAGGGAGATAGGAGGGACTAGGAGACAAGGAGGAAATAGGAAGTAGTAAGGAGAGTCAAGATGGAGAGTCTGGAGAGAGCTGGACGCCAGCCGCCTCCCCGGTAAGAGAAGGCCATGTGAAGATACATAGAAATGGGTTAATAATTAAAGGCAGAGCTAGCCGATAAGTAACAAGTAACCGGGCCAACAGTATTGTATCAAATACAGAGTCTCTGTGTGTTGTTTGGGGCTGGCGGCGTGGCAGTGGGACCAGACAGGCGGCGGCAGGCAGAAAAACCTGTACTCCTTACACCGTGCTGCAGAGCTGCTTCTAAAACCGCCTCTTTTTTTCCCTGAGGATGGATTGCCTGTGGATCGCCCATGGTAGGCCTTTTTGTGGGCCCTTGGCACCGGCTGTGGCAGCCCTGGCTCTGGTTCTGAACAGAGTTTTGTGCCAAATGAAATGATCCCATCGGGCTCTTTGATCTGATCCCACTTGGTCAGCTGGGAAAGCCAGCTTGCTCCCTTTCCACTCTTGTACGGATCCAGGTTGGCTGCCGGCCCTCTGCTGTGGTGTCTTTTCACGCCATGGGGTTCTAGCTCCTCTCAGCTGCTTGCACTGACATGGACCCTTATTCTGGCACTTTCATTGATCTATACTGCCCAGCGCTGTCCCGACTGCTTTGGTTTTTGTTTCCCTACCATGTTGTTAACTTTCTTCCCTCCTGGCAAGCTCCTGAATTCCCCAGCAAGCTTGAGGTGTAATCACATTTCAACTGCTGCTCTGATATGAGGCACCAATTAAATGGAGATGAAAGGCAGAAGTAGGTTTGGAGACAGAGAGCTCAAGCCAACGAGTATTTCTCAGTGGGCCACAGAGCGAGAGGATGACAGGCCCGCTGAGGTTTGCATGTTAGGCTGAAGTTCGGAGTGGGTGAGATTTGTTTTAGTACGCATGCTTGCAGTTAGTGTGAGCTTGGAAGTTAGGAGAAGCTGCTTGGAACGGCTTGTGAAGGGGCTGCTGAAAGCTCCCCATAAACACGGGGAGTTAACGTGCTTTGCTTCAAGAACACCAAAACAGAAAAATGATTAGTCAAGCAGGATGTGAGGAAAATTTCCCCCAATCCCCTCCTGAGAGCAACATGCTTTCTTTCTCACCTCAGCAGAACACTATATGGCCGTGCAAATCCATTTGCCATATACTACACTGTGAAGCAATCCAGACTGGCGAATGCCGATGGTTGTATGCCTGTATATAAAATATATAGCAAACCATGCCGTGGATCTACTCAGCAAGCAGAGCATCTAAGAACGACAAAAATGCCAACAAGTGAGCTTGGAAAAGAGGTTATTAGAGAGGAGGGTTTCCTTCCATCTGTCCATCCATCTGTTTTTTGTCCATCCATCAGCACTTAACGTAACACACACACACACACACTCACACACACGTCATCTTGAGTATTTGCACCTGTATTTACCTTTCTAAAACCACTAGCTGTTTGAAGTCAGTAGGGGCATATTAGAGAGAGTAAACTGATGGAAAGATCTCTGACAGTGGAACCAGGATATATCCCTGGTGCACGAAAGGACTTTGGGAGCACATTCCCCGCGGAGGGATACTCCCTTAACCTAGAGACAGGAGGGAGGGCCAAGTCCCTGCTCCAAATGACTTGACAGATTTTGACGATCCCTCCTGGAAGACCTCACCCTCCCTGTGGTATGGGGGGATGGGTGGGATAGGAGGGAGACAGAACTGGGATCGATATGTAAAATAAGAAAAATTATATATACATATATGTATGTATGTGTGTGTATGTATATATACATATATACATCATATATACATCATATATACGTATATACATAATTTATATTTAAAAGGAGAATCCCACCTGCTGCTGTGTTCTGCTACTTTGGCCCACTGAACTTCCCCTTGGGGGAAGGGGCAAGTAGGCTGCAAATCGATGCTCAGACTGTGGGAGACTGTAGCAAGCTCAGTTTATTTCAGGAAGGGGAAAGGCTTACATACCCCTAAGGGGACAGGGGGAAGGAAAGCTGCAGCGCTGGCATCACATGACCACTGGAGACTGGTTCAGGCACCTTGTCTCATGGCACGGCAGCTATTGCTGGGGTTCCCTTCGCAGACCTACCTTGGCTCATTTTGGGGAGTTACTACTGTATGCTCATATAGCCGGTTTAGGCCAGCAAGGGCTTGGGAGTCCTTAGGCCCTTCATACCTTGGCAAATATCTCCCCACAACCACCCACACAATTTAATGAGTTCCATTTTCCTGTCTCTCTACCAATAGGTTTTAAAACCTCGATTAAAATCAGATAATGAAGAGGTGCGGAGAGATGGTTCAGGGGTTAGGAGCACTTGCTGCTTTTGCAGAGAACCCAGGTTTATTTCCTAGTACTCACAGGGTAGCTCATAGCCATCTGCAGCTCCAGTTCCAGAGGAATCTGACCCCCTCATCAGGCCTCCCCTGGCAATTCATGCATGTGCTGCACAGACATACTGCCAGGCAAGACACCCGCATAAAAGATGTAGTAGT